AAGTTCTTAGCATAAGAGGTGAATGGAGTTCAGAGTGTGGGAGTTGAATCAGATTGAGGGAGGAGGGAATGTTCTGGAAGGATGAAATTATTAGTAGTTAGCTTGGCAAAGGCCATTGTCGCAGAGCAAAGAGCCCAAGCAAACCTGGGTGTAGAACACAGTTCAGAGGAGCGAGCCCAAGGTCACGGGGCCTTTTCGGATTCCAGCTCTACCCTCCCTTGCTTGAGCAGGTCGGGAAAACTCCTGAGCCTCAGTTTCCTCATCTGCAAAATGGGAAGGTTTCCAGTATCTATTGCACAGGCCTGGTAAGAGCATTAGGAACACCCCATGCCTGGGCTGGCGCCTGGTGATTAGTGAGCTTCCCGATAGGTGGTAGCTCTTTATTTATTTTTATTTTTTTCAATTAGAGTTGACATTCAATATTATTTTATATCAGTTCCAGATGTGCAACATAGTGGCTAAACAATCATGTAACTTATGAAATGATCCTGTCAATAGCTCAAGTACCCACCTGGCACCGTACACAGTTATTACAGTATCACTGACTGTATTCCCCGTGCTGTACTTCACATCCGGTGACTGCTTTGTAACTACCAGCCTGTACTTCTTAATCCCTTCCCTTTTTTCCCAGCCCCTGACCCTCCTCCCCTGGCCGCCACCAGTCTTGTTTCTGCATCTGAGTCTGTTTCTGTTTTGTTCATTTACCAATAGTTTGTTCTTCAGAGTCCACATATAAGCGAAATCACAGGGTATTTGTCTTTCTCAGACCGATTTCAATCAGCGTCGTCTGTGGCAGCTGGTTTTTAATCACAGTGCGTCTGGACAGGCTGGGGTGGGCGCAGAGGGTGCAAAGACAGGGGCGAGCCCAGAGGGGGGAGGAGGCCAGGGGCAGCTTGGATCCCCGGGTGAAGGGCTCGGGTCTGATGCGGGAACCAGTGCAATCAGCAAAATGAGCATTTTCTGTAAAGGGAAAGGCTGACTACCCTGGTAGCAGTGTGGGCGCCCACTCCTATCATCCCTGGTCCTCGCCGCTCCGCTGCCTATTCTCAGTCCTGGGAGAGGCCAACCGAAAGGAGTGGCCAGAGGGGATGGGTGTGGAGGGCTGGCAGGCTGTGCTTGGTCTGGGCACCTTTCCCAGCTTCTTCCGGCTGACTTTCCTGGTGGGGGATGATCGGGGGCTTTGAGGCTCTGAGGTGGGCACTGCTAGGCAGTGTGGCCTTATTTTTGTCTGCGGTGGAGGGAGAGATTTGGGGTCTCCCCACTGATACTGGGGGGCTCCGATAACCTTGTCGGGTAGCCGGCCACTGGGCCTGCTGAGTCCGGTGGACTTTGGCCCCTCTTTCACCACTTTCACACAATGGGGGGCATCTAGGAGGGGGGAGGGGCTCAGCAAGGAGCTGGAGAGGCTGAGCTCCCACCCCTGTCCCCTGCTTGGATCAGGCAGTTGCTGAAGAGCCGTGCGGGGACGGGGGTCCGGACTGCGGAACCGAAGACACCCGGGAGATCCAGAGACGCCATGAGGCCTTAGGACCTCTGGAATAAATCAGGGTCCTGCTCCCCTGGGTGCCCTCCCCGTGTCCCCGCCCCAGCCCCAGGCCTGGGAAGAAGCTCAGTCCCAGCCTAAATCCTGCATTTGCCAGCTTCTGCTGCCCACGTCCCAGCAGCCCCAGCCTATGCGGGCCACAAGCCGGCCTTTGTGGACTTGCCCTCTCACATGAGCCGTGCCAGGAGGGGCTGACCTCATTCTGCCTGCAGCTGGGACAAGCCCCCCAGGGTCTGGGCCCCCCTCGGCCACCATGGAGAGATGGAGCTGGCATGAATGCAACATCCTGCACTTTCAGAAATCGACTGTGGTGAAGGGCAGCCCTGGAGACACAGCTGCTCCTGTGAGAAAGATCATTCACTCACTCACTCATTTAGTAGATGCCCACTGAGACCCTGCTCTGTGTCAGGCCCTGGGCTAGGGACTCGTGGCGCGGAGACGCACGACTCTCGCCCTTTTAGGGAAGAAGACTGTAAGAGAACACCCTGCGTCAGAGTCTCTCGGGAGCCCCATCCTTGGAGTTTCAGATTCAGTAGGTCTCTGTTGGGGCTTGAGAGTCCCTGACAAGTCCCCCAGTGAGGCTGTTGCTGCTGGTCCAGAGAGAATAATGACTGGTTGTGTTTTTTGTATTTTTAGAACTGTCTGTGATCGCTGTTTACTTTTATAAATAGAAAATCAGTTCTTTAAAACTTAAAAAAATAAATGGTCCCCCTAAATGACTCCAGTGCCCTGGACGTGGTCCTCTGTTGAGGGATGTCGCCTCCCAGAGTCCAAACGTCACCTGCTTGTTCAGGTGGCCCAGTGTCACGAGCTTCTGTGCCCTGCGCACTTCCCCTCGGCTCGTCCAGAGCTCTGGGCGCGCTCAGAGCCCCACAGCCTCCCGCTACCAGGACCTGTCTGTGTGACCGCAGAGAGAATACGTGAAATGCTAGGAAGTAGCAGGGCGGGGATTTGAACACCAGCCCCTCTGGAGGCTGGTTTGGCGCGGAGTTAGCCGACCGGCCTGTGCTTCCTGAGTGCCGTTTCCTCTGGGCTTCTTCAGTCTGCCTGCTGAGACAGCGCACGGACCCTTCACTTCCTCATTTCTTTAACTGGTGCGATCACTGACTGTCCCACTTCCTCCTTTTCCACTTTTAGTTTTTTCCACTCGGCTCGGTGGTGGGGTGGTGAGTCTGTGTGTGTGCCGGGTGGGGGTGGGGCTCCTGGTGACTGCTCCTGCTGATCCCACCCCCGGGACAGAGGCTGTGGTGGCAAGTCAGGATGACCCATCTGTTGGCAGTGGGAACGGGACAGGGTCTCTTGGGGGTTGGAGAAGCAGATACCTGTCCCTTCTGTCCTCTCCTGAGTTCAGAACCATTTGAGAAAGAGTCCCACGAGTCAGACAGATGGAGAGTCCGATGGATGGTACACCCCGGCGAGCTTCCACCCTCAGGATTGGCCTGGAAGGTAATGCTTCCTAACCTCCCAGTCCTGGGCGACTGGACAGTCCTCGGCCGTTCCCTCGGCCGCTCCCTCCTGGAGAGCCACCCGTTTTCCCTGGGGAAGAGGAGGCTCCGAGGGCTGGTGAACCCAGTTCTCCAGACTGTGGCCTCTTCTCCAGGGCCTGCAGGGTTGCTGTTCTTCCGTCTTGCCCCCCACCCACCCCGTCCATCAGCATTGTTTGTGGGTGCTTTCTCTGACCCCCAGGGATGCCTTCGGCACATCATTCATCCTCCAGGACCAAGTTTCTCTTGTTGGTGTGCCATCTTATTTAATCCATTCAATCACTAAGAGTAGATATCATTCCATCTGTGACTCAGTTTTCACATTTATTGCTAAACATAATAATGACCACAGTTTCTACCAGGTCTCCCACTCAGCCCCTTCCCTCACACTTTGTCCCACAGCGGTATGCCTTTTTGTGGCTTGGATTCATTCACTCAGTATTTGCCAGGAGCCTGCAAGATTTGAGTCCCCGTGCGGGGTGGGGGATGCACCAGGAAGCGAGGTGGCCCTGCAGACACTCAGTGTCTCTTGGAGACAGACTATTAAAGAATTTGGCCCTGGCTGGTGTAGCTCAGAGGATTGAGCGTGGGTCTGCGAACCAGTCAATCGAGGTTCGATTCCCAGTCAGGGCACATGCCTGGGTTGCAGGCCAGTTCCCAGCAGGGGACCCACGAGAGGCAACCATACATTGATGTTTCTCTCCCTCTCTCCTTCCCTTCCCCTCTAAAGATAAATAAATAAAATATTTTTTAAAAATTAAAAAAAAAAGAATTCAGATGCGCTCATGGTGACAAAGGGGAAGTGAGGCACATGTGGGGGCTGCGCTGAGGAAGTGAGGTCACCCCTCCACTTGAAACCCGAACCAGACTCTTTATCAGCCCTGAGAGGCCCTGGATGGGCTTTCATCCTGTTCGGGCTGATCCCTGTTTCTCCAGCTTCAGTTTAGCCGTGTGGCTTCCCTGGCCTCCTGCCGTATCGTGACACACTGACCTGTCTACAGCCTCTGGGCCTTTGCACGCACTGTTCCCTGTGCCCAGAGAGAGCTCTCCCTGGTGTCTCCTTGGGTGACCGTTCCTTCTGCCTCAGCTCAACAGCCCTGCTTTACAGATGGCGTCCCTGCGCATGTCCCCTAACACGGCACTACTTGGTCATATTACCCAGGTGGTGGTCTTTCGTATTTTTTTTTGTCTTCATAGCTAACGGTATTTGAATTTTTAAATTTGTTTGTTTACTGTGTGTGTCCCAGCGAGACTGGGGCTCCATGCAGAAGATGCAGGAGGGGCCAGGTGAGCCTTGGTCACCACCGTTCCTCCCCACCCACATGCCTGGCCCAGAGCCTGGTACACAGTTGGTGCTCATAAGTGCTTGCTGAAAGAGCCTCTCCCCAGGGTATCAGTTTCCTATTGTTGGTATAACAAATACCATAAACTTAGTGGCTTAAAACAATTCCAGGGTATTACCTTGTCATTCTGGAAGGAGGGCAGAAGCCTGAAAATGAGGTGTCAGCAGGGCTGCAGCCCTTGGGACGGCCCCGCGGGAGGGTCCCTTGCCTTTTCCAGCGTCTAGAGGCTGCCTGCATTGCTTTAACGGTCATCCCACCTTCTTCAAAGCACATTCCCTCCTCCCTCTGCTTCCATCCTCTCGTCAAGTCACGTTGCCTTCTCCCTCTTCGATGCCCTGGCCTCCCTCTCATGAGAACTCTTGGGATTACAATGGGCCACCCAGGTGATCCAGGAACATCCCCCAATCTCCAGACCCTTGATCACGTTTGCAAGATCCCCTTTGCCATGTAAGGCAACGTAGTCACCGATTCTGGGAATTAGGACACGGACCTCTTTGAGGAAGGGCGTTATTCAGCCAACCACACCCAGGTTCCCCTCCCCTCCCCCTGCTCTGGAAGTCTAGGACCTAGGGGGGTGTGGCCGTACTCTGGGTCAGGGCCTGGTGACCTGATGGCCCCCTCCCCCTGCAGGATGAGATCGAGGAGCTGCGGGCAGAGATGCTGGAGATGAGGGACGTCTACATGGAGGAGGATGTGTACCAGCTGCAGGAGCTGCGCCAGCAGCTGGACCAGGCCAGCAAGACCTGCCGCATCCTGCAGTACCGGCTGCGCAAGGCTGAGCGCCGCAGCCTCCGTGCCGCGCAGACTGGCCAGGTGGACGGCGAGCTCATTCGAGGCCTGGAACAGGATGTCAAGGTGAGCCCGGGGCCTCCCCCAGCACCCATGGACACCATTGTTGGGGGTGGGACCATGAGCCTGAGCGGGACCCAGGTCAGCCTGCCCCTCACTCCCTGTGTGTCCTTGGGCAAGTTGCACCAGTCTCTGGGCCGCAGCTTCCCCATCTGTAAAGCTGGGATCCCTGGTGAACTGACAGGCCATTGACCAGGGATCCCCCACAGTGATACAGTGTGAATCCTACGAACAGTAGCCACTGTGTGAGCAGCAGCCACACACTTGGGGCTGGGCTCCGAGCTGTCCCCGCACAGTTCCGTGGCCGTTTCTGTGTTGCACCGATCAGGCTGGTTTAAATCCCGGCTCCGTGAGGGTCAGATGAGACGTGTGGTAAAGAGTCACTGTAAACACCCCATGTATCGGCTGTTATCCTTCCCAGTTCCAGACGAGGAAAGTGCAGCTCAGAGAAAGGAAGTGCCCATCTGCGCTCAGTGACACTGTGTCGCCTCCCATGCCTCCGCCCAACCTCCTCCCTCGGCCCCAGTGAACCCAGAGGGGTGAAATCTGCAGAGGGGCCTCCAGAAGAGAGGGTCCACTCTGCCTGTGTGAGCCCTGGTCAGGGGCTGAGCACGCGGGGTGGGGAGGACTCAGCTCCCTGCTCTCAGAACCCAGTCCAGTGAGCTCGGGGGTGGGGGGGTAGGAACTGGGGATGGGGTACCTGGTGCAACCTGGGGCCCGCAGGGAGTCTTCCTGTAGGGGTGACATCTGAGCTGAGGCCTGAGGGGGAAGGGGGACATGAGCCAGGAGGTGAAGGTGGAATGCTGGAGAAAGGGGCCCCTGGAAGAGCAGGGGAAAGGAACAGTGAGTGCCTGCCCATGCCGGCTTCCGCAGCTCTGGTGTCTCATGTGCACAGTGGGCTGTGGGTCTGTCGCACAGATGAGGATGCTGATCTCAGAAAGGTTGTGTCTCCGAGTCCAAAGTGCACCTCCACCTGAGAGGGCAGCTTCCGGGACAGATGGTGACACAAATACTCGAGTGCCTGACACTAGACTGGGAGTATGTCGGGTGAGGAAGAGCCTGGGAAGCTCAGAGGAATCTGAGTTTGGGCCCAGGTGGATGGGGATTTCAGGCAGGGACACAAAGTCAGCCTGCGAGAGATGAGGAAGGGTGGAGGATCGCTGGGGCTGGGTTGCCAGGGCCTCTGTGGGAGGAGCTGAGAATGCTGGTGTGTGTTTGTGTGCAGTGATTGCATGCAGTGGTGAGAGGGGGCCTCTGCAGTCTGGGGAGAGGGGAGGGGTTGGGAGGGGAACAGCCCCTTCTGTTGGTATTTGAACTAGCCAATCAGCATCAGCTTTGCCCCTTTCCCTCCCCCCTTCACAGTCACTGCAGCTGGAAGGCTGAGCTCATCCATGCAGGCCTGGGCTGGACGCCTCTAGCCACCTCACTTCGCCCATGTGCTGGGGATGTTCTGGGGTGTTTTGAATCCTTAAAGTGCTGATTTCCCTGGCAGCTGCAGGGAGGGCTGGTGGGCGCAGTGGGGAGGGGTTCCAGGGCTGCCTAGAAGGGTATCCAGGGGGTCTCTGTGACTTGCTCTGCCAGCTCCCTGGCCCATGCCCCACCTGGCCCCCATCTCTTAGATATTAGGGCCTCAGTTTCCCCTCCTGTTAAACATGGGCTTAGAGCAACAGAATGTTCAGGGCTTTTGAAGCTCTGCTGGTTTTATTGAGCAGGTAGGTTACCGGTGAGGGTGCCATGAATACAACCGCAGGCCTTGGTCCCCCCCACACCCTGCTCTTCCCTGCCCCACCCCCACCTCCACCCCCTGCCAGGCTCGCCCACTCTCTGCTGGTCCTCACAGCTGAGAGGACCCAGAACCTCAGCGGAAGCATTGCCGGGCATGAGGAGGGCAGGGGCAGGGGCCAGAGACCTTCTCTGCCAGCTGCTTGCTCTGTGGTCTTGGGTAAGCTCCTTCACATCTCTGAGCCTCAGTTTCCCCATGTGGAAAATGAAGATAAAATGGGTCCCTACCTGTAGAGAATTTGTGAATAAGTAAAGAGAAAGCTAAGCACAAAGTCTGGCTCTGGATGCTCTGCAGATGGGCGGATGTTGGATGTGGTGTGGTGTCCTTGAGAACTTACCAGGCAGGAGCAGGACACGTGGCCCAGGAGAGGATGGGGGAGGAGAGGCCGGAACCCCCACTGCCCTGGATGGGAAGGAACCACCTGGAGGGCTGGCTCACCAGGTAGATGCCCAGGCCCCACCGCGAGGCCTGGGATCCTGTGGAGAGTGTCAGGTTCCTGACCCCAAACTTCCACCTGGAGGGACCCCAGTGGGAGGCCCAAGACACAGCACTGAAGTGTGGCCTTTCTTAGAAGCAGATGTTGCTGGAGAGAAAGTTCTGGCTTTGGGTTTAATTCCTGGGTGACCTGGGCAAGAGCCTCCCTTCTTTGAGCCTCAGTTTCCTCATCTGTGAAATGGGGGTGACATCCCCATCCTCCCAGGGTTCCTGGAAGGATTTAGTCACACAGAACTCAGGTGCTGCCCTGCAGGGAAGGTCCTTAGTGAGAGCTCCCATCCCCGTCTCAGAGGATTCAGAATGACAGGGACACCCTGAGGCCAGGGACACGGTGAGCAGAGGACAGATGGGCCAATCGGTGAGGAAGCAGGGCCGCCGTGGCCCAGAGGCTGCCGGTCGCATTTGGTGGGAGCCGGCCCAATGCTGTAAACAGTGTCCTCATGACTGAGGGCATTGGTTTGTGCTTTGGGGATTTGCCCTGGTTTCTGGAAGCTGCAGCTGCCTCACCCTCAGTGGCAGCCCAGCCCCGCTACCATGGGAGAGTGGGGAGGACCAGGAGATGACCCCATGAGGTAGGCAGGTGGGGCCCTATGGGCTGTGTGAGCTGACAGTGTGAGCCCACCGTTGGGCCTGCTATTGGTACCTTTACTGTGGCTATTAATATGTCATCCAGCTCCAGGCCAACAGCAGGGTCAGGCTGAGAGTCAGAGTCCAGAGTGGCCCCTATCTCGTTTCAAATCTCGGTCCTGTAGCTTCCTAGCTGTGAGCCCTCGGGCAAGTGACCTTTTCTTTCTGAGCCTCTGAGCAAGAATAATAATAAAGCCCTTCCTGAGAGAGTGAAAGGTACGTGATGGGTGCTGATTTTATAATCACCAGGGACAGCCGAGGGGGCCCAGGGTCACTGAGGCTCAGAGAGGGGAGGGGACAGGCCCAGGCCACAGAGCTCTTGCCCTTGGGGTCAACGTGCTCTCTGCTCCCCTTAGGCTGCCACTGGGGACACCAGGCTCTGGGATCTGAGATTAAGGGCTCTTTTGTCCACGTTGGACTTCTGTAAGCTGCCTGGAGTCTTGCTTTTCAACGTAGCACCCCTCGAGTGGGGATCGCATGTGGAAGGGGGTTCCGTGGGGAACAGGGAAGAATGCAGCTGGGCTCTCACGGAAGGGGCGAAATCAACAGACTTCTCCGGAACCCAAGAGGATCCAGGAATCCACGTGGATTATGGCTTCTTGATGAGGAGCCAGTCACCTCCTCCGGTAGGGACCATGGTGGGGACAGAGCCACCCACCAGATGGAAAGGAGCTGGTTTATGTAGGAGGAGGGTCGGAGAGCACCCCTGCTCCCCAGCGCTGCTCCCTCATCCCAGTCAGGGACCCCCCCCTCAACAGTGGGTGGGGCGGGTGCTTGGGGAGCATCTCCAGCCAAACCAGGCAAGTGCGGCTCCCATATCTTAGTTATTCACTCCTTCATCTTCCTCCCTTTTTGCTTGTTGCAGCCTTGGATTTGTTTGTTCATCCAATAAGCATTTATTAGGCGCTTAGTGTGGGCCAGACCCTGAGCTGTGGCTGGGGCACAGAGATGTGAAGGAGCCCAGGCCCGGTCTGGGGCTTGACCTTTGTTGTACCACTCCTGCACCCAGGGCCTAAGAGGATGAATGAATGAATGAATGAAGTGATCAGGAATGGGGCTCACTTAAAAGCCCCAAGCTAGGGAGCGTCACCAGGAGCCTGGCGCTGAACACTTCCAGCAAAAACCCTGACATCAAACTGAAAAGGGAGGTTTTGGGGAGTAGGGCCAAGTCGGATCAACTCAGTACACAGAGGTGAAGCGGTGATCTTGACACTACATTCAAAATCGATGTCTTTTGCCCTAGCTCAGTGGATTGAGCGCGGGCCTGCAAACCAAAAGAGCGAGGTTCCATTCCCAGTCAGGGCACATGCCTGGGTTGCAGGCCAGTTCCTAGCAGGGGCCAGTTCCCAGCAGGGGACACATGAGAGGCAACCATACATTGATATTTCTCTCCCTTTCTCTTCCCTTCTAAAGATAAATTTAAAAAAATCGATGTCTTTTTTGAGCACCTACTATATTCCGGCCACCAGCCCAAGCAGTATGTCATTTTTTCCTCTCAGTGGCCCTTGCGATCGACCTTTTTTACCGATAAGCAAACGGAGACTTTGGAGGGTTAACTAACTTGTCCTGAGTCGCACTCTCAGAGAGTACTGGAACCAGGCTGGAATCTGGTTTTCCTACCTGCAAAGTCCTGGTTCTGATACTGCCGGATTGCTCACCCCACTTGGTGGGTGAGGACAGCTTGGTGGCCTAGGGAGGCTGTGAGATGATCCTTGTGGACAGCTTCTGGCCATCTTGGGAGATCTTCGGGACAGAGAGAGGCAGTGGGCAGCAGAGGGAGGAGGAGGCAGTGCTGAGTTTCCTTTCTGGCCGTTGTTTTTCCTGGCCTGCCTCACGCACTGCCAAGGGGTCTGTGCCGAGCTGGGCCAGGGCCCAGGCAGAGGGCAGAGCCGGGGAGGGCCCTCTTTCCTTCCGGCAGGGAGGAGGTGCCACGGTCGTTTCCGAGGCTGCGAGGCTGCAGGCATGGGGAGCTGGGCCGGCTGCCCCACTCCTGCTGGAAAAGGCATCGTACCCTCCCAGAGGCCTGGCTGTGCTGGCTCCTCAGCCAAGTGCCTGGGGCTTCCGCAGCTCAGCCCACAATAGCTTTATGTGACCCTGAGCAAGTCACTTGCACTCTGAGCCTCGGTTTCCTTATTGGTAAAATGGGGACAGAATTAGGATGAAGATGAATGAATCTGGCACATAGTAGGTATTTAACCAATGGTGGTGCCCTGCCCACTCAGGCCTGTTGTGATTTCCCAGCTGAGAAGGGGCCTCCTTATCCCCCGAGGCCCCCTTTCCTGGCCTTTCACCTCCACCAGCCAGGGACAGACAGGACAGAGGGTGTCCTGGAGGAAACTGGGTGCTGTTGCTGCAGAGTCCTGGGCCAGGACTGGAATCCGAAGTTCTGTCACCCCCTTTCTGCAGGGACGACTGGGACACCAGCCCAGGCTTTGCCATTTGGGGCTCGTTCTATATCCCAGATGGTTGGAAATAGGCCTCGGGGGTGCACTGTGACCTCCAGCAAGTCCTGCCCCTTTCTGGGCTTCAGCTGCTCCCAGCAGCAGCCACTACTCACCCCACACTCACTGCACAGGCAAGAGGCCAAGCCTTTTGTGCAAGAGCTGATCAGCCCTGCTGTCGGGCCTATGAGGTTGGGGCTGTTACTGTTGGACCCAGTTTTTGGTTACGGAGACCGAGGCACAGAGTAGGGATCACACGTGGGTCACTGGCAGGGATGGGGTGTCAGTGGCTCTGGGGTTGCCTGTCTTGCTCTGAGTTTGCCCTCCCTTTTAAATGAGCTTCTGGCTCAGCTATAGGCTCTTGCAAAGATTGGCAAGAGGGTGGCCGGGAGAGGCACTTGGAAGTATTAAGGGGCCCCAAGTAAATGAAAAGGCGTTCTTAAGAACACAGAGTGCGTTGATAACATCTGGGGGCTGAACCGTGACATAAACATAAGGAACATGGGGTGCCTGGGTTTGGATTTTGGTTCTACTCCTTTCTGGCTTTGTGACCCTTGGTGAGTTAAACTGTCTGTGTCTTGGTTTCCTCATCTGCTGAGTGGGAGTGATGAGAGAAACTGCCTGCTCAGGGCTCGCTCTGTGGCTTGCGTGGCCCCTCAGTCCTGCATGTCCTGCTCATCTCCCACCCCCGCTCAGGTCTCTAAGGACATCTCCGTGCGGCTGCACAAGGAGCTCGAGGTGGTGGAGCAGAAACGGGCGCGCCTGGAGGAGGAGAACGAGGAGCTGCGGCAGCGGCTCATCGAGACCGAGCTGGCTAAGCAGGTGCTGCAGACGGAGCTGGAGCGGCCCAGAGAGGTGAGAGCCTTGTCCGTCCCGGGCAGGCCAGGCTGGGGGTGGCGGGCCTCTGTCAGGTCCAGCCACTCTGCACGGTTAGACCTCCCTGGCAGAGCTGTTTATCCATTCATTGCTCCAGCACACGTTTCCTGAGCACCTCCTGTGTCCACTTTGTGCTGGCCACCAAGGACCCAGTGGTGAATGAAAGACACTAGGTTCCTGTCTTCAAGGAGCCCTCAGACTGATGCGAGACAGTCGTCCCTTACAGAACCCCTCCTGTGGGGGGACTGACGGAGCAAACATGCCACTGTGCCCAGCGTGGGGCTGGCCCTCTGTGCTTTAGTTTCCTCATACATAAAATGGGACAATAATGCCCCAAGCCCTTGTGAGGACAAACTGGGATGATTTTTGTGTGCATGCCTCAGGGACTGCCGGGCACCGCCACTCAGTGTGGGGCTGGGGCTCTGGACAGTGTATCTAGACACTTCCTGATACGCCCCCCGGCTGCTGGCCTCTCTGGCTCTGATCCTGCCGGTCCCTCCACTGGCGTGTTCTTTCTTCCTTCTGCTGTTAGACACCACGCTGGGCACTTCATCTCAACAGTTTTCATAAAAGGCCCAACGAGGTTATGATCTTACCCGTTTTTTGGATGAGAAAACGGCCCTGAGAGTGGGGTGGATGTCCTTGAGGTCACACAGGGCCCCCTGGGCTCTGCAGAAGGACGATTGGAAACCATGAGCCTTGGTGACCCCTAAGGGCTGGAATTCTCCAGATTCCAGGGGTGTGTTCCAGGCAGCCTGGTGTAGCTCTGGCTTCGGAAGTGTGGCTGGGCCTCAGCTATCTGGCTGCTCACGAGGTATCATAGGATCATACGGGGCACACTCCTCACCTCCCCCAAGGGCAGGCGTGCCAGCGCGCCAGGCCTGCGCAGTCACAGCCCTGGGCCAGGACAGCCCTTCAGCCGCCCTGCCCTGGGAGCGTGCTGGGGTGATGCGCCAGTGGCTCCTCGGTGTGGAGACCAGTGGTTGCTACTGAGGCTGCTGTGGATCCCCGCCCCTCCCCAGGGCTGCGTGGGAGGCCCCCTCTCTCAGGCGGCCTCCTGCCCCCCAAGGCCTGGCCCAGAGCACAGGGCATCTTCTTCACACATCTCGTTGCTGCCACCCTTGGTAGTGAAAAGGGGAGACGATTTGAGAAAGTGCCTCGGAGGTCAGCCTGTTCCTGTGGTGACAGAGAGGAAACTGAGGCCCAGAGAGGGACAGCAGCTGGCCTGAGTTCACCCAGTGTTTCCTTGGCAGAGACACGGCTGAGACCCTGGAGCCACTTCCCTGCTCTAAGTCCCAGTTTCTTCTTCTGCAACATCAGGATGGTAACAGTACCCAGTCTATGAGGTTGTTTATGGCTGTTAATAAGATTGGGTAGCCAAAGAATAAGGAAACGTGTAGGTCCTTCGAAAGTTAAACACAGAGGGACCGGATAAGCCAGCAATTCCCCTCCTGGGTCTATAGCCCAGGACTCAGAGCTGGAGCACAAACAGGTATTTGTACCTCTGTGTTCATAGCAGCATTATTCACGACAGCTAAAAGGGGTGCGCACCCCAACAGCTGTCGATGGACAGATAAAAACGTAGTGTGTTTGTACAATGGACCGTCGGTCAGGAAGGACATCCTGACACAGGCTGCAACATGGATGAACTTGGAAGAAGTGATGGGTTAAATATGCCAGGCACAAAAGGACAAGTAGTATTATTCCACTTACACGAAATATTTAGGGTAGTCAGATTCACACAGACGGAAAGTCCAATGGTGGTTACCGGGGGTGGGGGGCGGGAGTGGCGTGTTTCCATGTGGGACGGTGAGCAGTCCAGGAGAGGAGGGGCCGTGATCGCTGACCACAGGGGAACGCACTCAAGTGCTGCCGCACTGGAAATAGCTAAAAATGGTAAACTCTGTTATGTGTATTTGACCACGATAAAAAAGAAAATACCATTAAGATAGTAAATTTTGTATGACGTATACTTGACCACAACGAAAACGAATAAGGTAGATATGTACAGGTGACCTTTGAACAATGAAGGCTTGAATCACACAGGTCTATTTATAGGTGAGTATTTTTCAATAAATACTGGGAATGTACTTTCTCTTTTTTATGTTTTTCTTAACATTTTTTTCTCTGGATTACCTTGTTGTCAGAATACAGTGCATAGTACTTACAACATGCGTGTTCATCAGTGGTTTATGCTGTCGGCAAGGCTGCTGATCAACAGTAAGATGCTAGTAGTTAAGATTGTGGGGGAGTCAAAAGTTATATGTGGATTGGGGGGCAAGTCAGTGCCCTGAGCCCCTTTGTTCTTCAACAGTCAACTTTATAACTGTGTGTGTTGACATGGAAAGGTCTCTCAGGTACATAATTAAGCAGGAAAAGCCACACAAAACAAAGTGGCTTTGAAGTGTGAGTGTGTGTGTGTGTGTGTGTGTGTGTGTACGTGTGCGCACAAACGCGTAACTGTCGTCTGGAGGAAAACCACTGAGCTGAAGGATTCGAGGGGCAGTAGGGTAAATAATAGCTTTTGCTTTTATACTGTTAGTGCTGTAGTTCAGTTTGTTTGTTTTTTAACAGTATGTGTGTATTTGAGTCTTATCCGTGAAATTTTAAATGCAGTCAGGCATGTAAAGGGCCCTTTGTGGTGCCTGGCACGTAGTAGGTGCTCAGGAAACTGAAGGCAGGGTCTAGCCCTCTCCCTGCTGTGCCTTTTGGTGTCTCCGTATCTGGGCAAAGCGGCCTGGCCCTGTGTTTATTTGCCGATTGCCCTCTCCCTCCTCTCTCTCCTCCTGACTTGGTTTCTATGGAGATGAGGGTCCCTTAGCAATTCTTCTGCCAGCGCATCAAGATGTGCCTTTGCCATCCTGACAGGTTGCTGTGGCAATGCTGTCACCCGGCTGGGAACAGGATCCCCTGGCCTGAGCTGATGTGGTTGCCATGGAGATCGCTCTTCACTAGGGGAAGGGAGGGCGGCCAGCCCTAGCCGTGCTCTGCGGTGGCACCTTTGCCCAGCGTGGCTGCAGCCCGGGAATCATAACACCAGCCTCTCCCTGGTTGGTAACACCCCTCCTCCTTGCATTGTAGGCAGGGAGCCAGTGTCAGTGTTGATGGGATTCATCGCGATACAGCTGCTGTATCTGAGGGCTCGCCCTGGGCCCGGGCACCGCCCGGAGCCGGCCATGTCTGCCCCAGCTTCCCAGCGTGCCAAGTCTTTGCCGTTGTCCCCTTTTTACAGTTGGAGGTGTAATCTTGGTGATTTTTACATTGTGATATAATCCACCTATCACAAAAGTCACCATTTTATTTTATTTATTTATTTTTACAATTTTTAATTGATTAATTGATTTGAGAGAGAGAAAAACATCGATTTGTTGTTCCACTTATTTATGCATTCATTGGTTGATTCCTGTATGTGCCCCGACTGGGCATTGAACCCATAACCTTGGCATATCCGGACATTGCTCTAACCAATTGAGCTACTTGGTCAGGGCCAAAAGTCACCATTTTGAAGTGTACCATCCAGTGTTGTTTAATACCTCCATAACATACTAAAAACCGAACACTTCCACTGCCCCCAAAGACCCCCTGTGTCTGTCAGCAGTCACTCCTCGTTCGCTCTCCCCTCCAGCCCACAGCCACCACCGATCTCCTTTCTGTGTCTGTGGGTCTGCCTGCTGTGGAGATTTCACAAACATGGAGCCGTGCAAAATGCGAGCTTTCGTGACCGGCTTCTTTCACTCAGCCTAGTGTCGTCAAGGTCTGTCTGCGTGGAAACGCGCATTAGTATTTCGTTCTTTCTCGTGACCCATTGTCTGGCTGTCGCATGTTTTGTGTGCCCACTCATCAGCTGGTGCACATCTGGGTTGTTTCCACTTTTCGGCTGCTGTGAACGCATGTGCAGGTTGTTGTGTGAATCTATGTTTTCAATTCTCTTGGGGAGTGGACTTGCTGTATACGGATAGGCCTGGGGGGAACAAAGATGGGATTCTGACTCAGGGCTCCCCCACCCCCGGAAGCCACACTGACTTTCATAGTGATGCCCCGGCCCTCCTTGTCCATCCAGGGGCCTTCCTAGGAGGACCCTGCTGTGTTCTCAGAGCCTCTGCCAGGTTCCGTGAGCACCTTCCACCTGGAACAACAGGCTTCTTGTGCTGATTCCCACTCTGATGGGACAGGACCGGGGCTCACTGTGGGGCCAGGTTACCTGGGCTTGAACTTCGGTTCTGCAGGTGCTGTCCCCGATGCAGCCGGGCCACGGTTTGTGTGGGGCGTGGCCAACGTGAAGTCGGAGTCTCGTGGACCTGAGTTGAATTCTGACTTTGTGGCCTGCAAATAACAGTCACGCCACTTTCAAGTAACAGTCACGCTGGGCAAATCGGGTCACTGTTGGCTCCTTTATAAAAGGGGGATATTAATCCCATCATCTTAGAGGTGTTTGTGTGAATTGGTGGAGACGAGAATAGGGCTGGGTGAACACCGTTGTTCACCCAGAGAATAGGGCTGGGTGAATACCGTCGTTCTCATCACCCGCACGACCGTTCTGGTGGCCGTGGTCTGGAGGGGCTCTCCCTTAGTTCAGCCAGTGTGTCTCTGCTGCCTCTCGCAAGGAGCTGTCCATGTGGGCCTGTCCGTTGCCCGTGGAAGGAGCAGTTACGTTACGAATCAACACGGGCAGTCGGCAGTGCTTGTCCCGGGGCTCATCCTAAAACCACCGTTTCCTCCCTCGCCCCCACCCCACCTGTGGTCTCCTCCAGCCACAAGCCACACAGCCTCTCTGTGCGGCTGCTTCAGCCACTGCAGAGGAAGAATGCCTCAGTCTTTGAGAGGCACCCCCTCTGTGTGCATCCCCTCGAGTAAATCTTGTACACACAGCACAGTCTGTGTTTTCAGTGCGACCTTTCCAAACGTCGCCTCCAAGTTTGGTGAAAATCTGCCCAGCTGTTCTGGCAGAAGGTTCATTTTATTCCTTGAAGGTTGGTCTT